CATACCAATATCAGATCTGCCCAAATAATATTTGAAACAATTATTTACAAACAGTTCTACTCCTACCTCGCTATATAGTCGTCCTGGCTTGGCGCTTTCCCCTGATAATTCCTTCCTTCTTTCCTTCTACTCCTACCTCGTAAAATTTAACATACTAAGTCCCTGTCAGTTTGGCTTCCGCTCCCAAAACAGTACCAACGATGCCATTATTAGTCTGCTTGATATAATCTACTCAGCCCTGGACAAAAATGAGTTTCCGATTGGACTCTTCATTGACCTGAGAAAGGCCTTTGATACTGTTAGCCATAACTACCTCTTACTTAAACGCCACCATTTTGGAATCCGAGGCCTTGTCCTGAACTATATCCGAACCTATCTTAGTGACAGACACCAATATGTAGCCATCAATGATATAACCTCTCCCACTCTACCATTAACCGTAGGAGTGCCACAGGGCAGCATCCTAGGACCTCTCCTATTTCTTATATACATCAATGATCTGCCTAATGTCTCTAACATTCTTAAACTTATACTATTTGCTGACGATACTTGCTGACGTCACTTCATCTACTCAGACTCCAACCTACATACACTAAATAATGTAAATAACGAATTAAAAAAGTCCATAAAGTAAATAGAAACTGTACTTATGGTCGGTCTCGAGCCCATTGCTGATGTAACAATGTGTATTGAATTTTTGCAACTAGCTCATCCAGATAGTAACTTGCTTAGCTAAATGAATTGTGGGGTTCAGTCCCTGAGCCCATTATGTGCCTCTGTAACCCTTTCCACTACCGCCCACAAGATGGGTATGGGGTGCATAATAAATGAAGGGAAGAGAATTTTCAGGGAAAAGCGCCAAGCCATTACTATTGTATAGCACTTGGAAGGGGTCAGGATAAGATTTTTGGGATGGGACGGGGGAAGGACTGGTGCCCAAACACTTGGACGGCCGGGGATTGAACGCCGACCTGCATGAAGCGAGACCGTCGCTCTACCGTCCAGCCCAAGTAGCATAATAAATTAACTAAACTAACCAATACTCTCACTATGGCGGTATGTTCACTCACAGGATGAGTGACGTTGCCCATTGTGGTATGTTCACTCACAGGATGAGTGACGTTGCCCATTGTGGTATGTTCACTCACAGGATGAGTGACGTTGCCCATTGTGGTATGTTCACTCACAGGATGAGTGACGTTGCCCATTGTGGTATGTTCACTCACAGGATGAGTGACGTTGCCCATTGTGGTATGTTCCCTCACAGGATCAGTGACGTTGCCCATGTCCGTATGTTCACTCATAGGATGAGTGACACTCATAAGTGAGATTAGCATGGGGTAAAAATATATATTTTTATTAAATAATATACAAAATAAATATCATATATTAAAAAATTAATTCAGGTAGTGGGTGAGAGGCGAGATGCTGGGTATTGCATCACATATTGCAAGCAGGTTGGCGCCGGCTGGGACCAGTGCCTCTACCTCACCACCATAGTCTACTGCAAGCTGTGATTTACATATTTAAATATATAGAATGAAATTTCCTGAAAATTAGGACATTTATTCCACCATTCTAGCTCACATAGCCTACTGCAAGCTGCGATTTACATATTTAAATATATAAAATAAAATTTCCTGAAAATTTATTCAACCGTCACGAGATGCTTGGGTTGACTGACACCAGAACAATGTAGTTATAAGTACAGTAAGGAGCAGGGCAAGAATTATTCCCATGCATATCCTATTACGCCGTCTTCAGAAGAGGAAATTTCCAATTATATTGAAGCTCAAGAAGCCACAATGTAGGACTGAAAACAACAGATTTTTTTCACTCGCGGGGTTATAAACAAGTGGAACCGCCTACCCGCCGAAGCTGTAAATGCCAAAACTCTGTTGAGTTTTAAAATCCAGCTAGAAATAATCATCAGGACAAATGGGGGGACCTTCGGCAAGCCGCCGACTCCCTGACTTTTTTGACACCACTAGAGTGTTAGTGGCCCCATCAGGTCAATTCAGCTACATACGCATGCAGGTGGCAGCAGGTAATGAATCTATAGAGTGAGGTCTTCAGTTGTAAACTTTGGGAAATGACCCAGGACACACTGCTCAACACTATTAGTAAATGTCCAGTTATTATAATTTGAACTGAATGGCGTGAGATTATTCGAGCTTTGTAATTATTTCATTCACTCACGGATATTGAAAGATATTCTCGTGATCTACCCAACGTTTGCGAGTAGACTCACATATCATATTTTCCCCTGAGTCCATCTACGGGCTCACCATAGCCCGTGTTACTTGGAACTTTTTGTTCCAGGTAGCGAATCTTTAACAACAACAACTGAGTCCATAACCACCCTATATGAGTTGGGAATATTGGGTGTACTTATAGCCAGCTGTAATCCCTTGTATAAAATAGGGCAGCAGTGTACACTACTGAATCCCTATGCTTCTTAATAATAATAATAATAATAATAATAATAATAATAATAATAATAATAATAATAATAATAATAATAATAATAATAATAACAAAATGCTCACTAAATTTTGGGGGTTCAGTTCCTGATCCCACTAATTATATGTGCTTCTCGAGTTTTTTCCGCTACCACTAGTAGGATGGGCATGATGTGTGTACTACCACTAGCAGGATGGGTATGGTGTGTGTACTACCACTAGCAGGATGGGCATGATGTGTGTACTACCACTAGCAGGATGGGCATGGTGTGTGTACTACCACTAGCAGGATGGGCATGGTGTGTGTACTACCACTAGCAGGATGGGTATGGTGTGTGTACTACCACTAGCAGGATGGGTATGGTGTGTGTACTACCACTAGCAGGATGGGTATGGTGTGTGTACTACCACTAGCAGGATGGGTATGGTGTGTGTACTACCACTAGCAGGATGGGTATGGTGTGTGTACTACCACTAGCAGGATGGGTATGGTGTGTGTACTACCACTAGCAGGATGGGTATGGTGTGTGTACTACCACTAGTAGGATGGGCATGATGTGTGTACTACCACTAGCAGGATGGGCATGGTGTGTGTACTACCACTAGCAGGATGGGCATGGTGTGTGTACTACCACTAGCAGGATGGGTATGGTGTGTGTACTACCACTAGCAGGATGGGTATGGTGTGTGTACTACCACTAGCAGGATGGGTATGGTGTGTGTACTACCACTAGCAGGATGGGTATGGTGTGTGTACTACCACTAGCAGGATGGGTATGGTGTGTGTACTACCACTAGCAGGATGGGTATGGTGTGTGTACTACCACTAGCAGGATGGGTATGGTGTGTGTACTACCACTAGCAGGATGGGTATGGTGTGTGTGTACTACCACTAGCAGGATGGGTATGGTGTGTATACTACCACTAGCAGCATGGGTATGGTATGTGTGTACTACCACTAGCAGGATGGGTATGGTGTGTGTACTACCACTAGCAGGATGGGTATGGTGTGTGTACTACCACTAGCAGGATGGGTATGGTGTGTGTACTACCACTAGCAGGATGGGCATGGTGTGTGTACTACCACTAGCAGCATGGGTATGAGCTGCATAATAAATGAACTAAATTCCTCTAACTAGAAATATAGCTGTCATATTTTAGTTTTATTAATTGATAATTTAACTGAATTTACTTGAGGGCGGCTTGTCGAAGGTCCCCTAATTTGTCCTGATTATTTTTTCCTGATGATTTTGTTGACCTGATTTTGATATTCAGTGGCACTTGTGACTTCGGCGGGTAGGCGGTTCCATATGATTATAACTATGGGTGAAAACATTATCTCCTGTTTTCTGCGCTACACTGTAGCTTGTTGAGCTTGTACCCCTTGCTCCTTGTTTGTGTTACATCTGACCTTTTAAAGATGTCGTCTAGGATAGTAGTCTTCAAATTGTTCAGTATTTTAAAAGTTTTGACGAGATCAGCAGCCCTGTCATGTCTGGTTTGCAGTGTTGTTAGCCCTGTGGCCCTCAACCTTTCCTGGTATGCGAGTCGACTTAGTCCAGGAAGAATTTTTCTCGCCCGATGTTCTACTTTCTCCAAAGCAGATTTTTTTTCCTGAAGATGTCTCCATGCTTGGATACAATAATCTAATTGGGAGCGCACCTGAGATTTATAAAGTTGAACAACTAGCTACTTTTCCTTAAAAGGAAAGTCAAAGTTTTGTGTTCATAATTAAAAGGTAACTAAATATTAGTGAAGTGTAGTGTAGTGTAGTAAACGGTAACTACTTTTTACTTTCAAAAGATGAGGTTAATATTTTTCAACAAGTTCAAAGGACATTTAAGTGGTTATATACAGTTTGCATTGACTATAGTGGTGAAGAAGCCCTAGCGAGCTCACAGCATGATGCAATATCCAACACCTCATCAGTAAGCTTGCATGGTTGCAAGTTTAATTCACTCAAGGTTTTGGCTTTACAGGACACCGTATGGCATGTTTTCATGCAATGTTTTATTATTAATAATAAATGTTTCGCAACGGATTTGTCTTTAACAGACTTATGTAGTTAATTTATGAATATGAATGCATTTACAATTGTCTAGTGGATGTACTTGAGTGTGTGTGCACGGGAGCCCCCCCAGCATGTAGCTGTGCAATGAAGGGGGATGGGAATTGACGTTCGCCTATATATATGTACTATAGAATTTAGAAAAGATTTAGTTTTATACCTTAAATTACACATGATTTAATAATATAAATTAATATATTTTTTGTTTTAAATCTCAGTGTTTGAAAGAAACTTAAGATGTATACGAAGAACAAAAATTGTTACTCTCATTCTTCACAGCTCCGTATCATCCAATCAGCTGTTATATTTACCTCCCCTCAGATATTGTCAATATTTTTATCCTCATTTATGCTTATTTTAAAGACAAAATTATTGTAAAAATGAAGTGCATACTGGAGTAATAGTAAATTATAGAGCTATATAGGTGTTGAAGATATAGAAGAGAGTATATTGAGAGATGAGGGAGGAGGAAGGAAGAGCGGGTGTGGCCCAGCTGACCACAAGGGCTTCCATTGACGACACACACACCCGCCGTCATAGCCATTTGGCACGAAGCCCCACCACGTCGTCCGGGTAACAAGATTATTTTTAGCCGAGGGATCGTCGCCAAGGGTCGGAGCCATGACTGAAGATAAGAACAGTGTGAAGAACGGTGCAGCAAACGCAGAGATGGCGCCCCAGGAGGACGGCAGCAAGGTTCCTCTCACCAACGACGGACCTGAGGTACGCTCTCCTGCCTCTTATAACACTAGTTACAATAAAATGGAGTAGAAATTGCTAGTCTAGAATAGGTTTTGTTGAAGAGTTACAGGTACGCGAGGACTGGAGAACGTTTAGTCATGATGAATAACAATTATAATGATATTTGAGGTCTACTCTTGCCTCGGAGCTTATGGCGTCGATTTTCAGGGCCGGATTGTGTACAAAATGGTGGGGTTCAGGGAAAAGTTTGGGTTTCCTGGAAATGTGGGTTTCGAAATTAGATTTCTTGTAGATACAAAGTTTTGTATGCAGGACTTTCAAAATGGATTATTTTATTGTCTTATGGGTACCTCTTTTTAACTTGTAGCTTGCCCCAACATAACCTTACATAATCTAAGACACATTTTTTATATATATTTAACAAGCACAAATGCTTGTACCTCGCTCGGAGCCGAACCACTTGGGCCCGACGGTAGAGCGACGGGTCTGGCTTCGTGCAGGTCGGCGTTCAATCCCTGCCCGTCCAAGTAGTCCCATCTAACATCCTTATTCCGACCACTTACAAGTGCTATCTAGTCATGATGGCTTGGCACTTTCTCCTGATAGTTCTCTTTCCTTGTACCTCACCCTTGCTGCAGTCATGTACGAGGTTTTGTTGGGCTGAGTTAAGTTAAATTTATTTATATATAAGAGGGTATATTGGGTTTGAGAGTACAGCGAATTGAAGTTGTATATTCTTGTAAAGCCACTAGTAAGCATAGTGTTTCGGGCAGATCCTTATTCTAACATATAATTTTAGGAAGGTAATTTCTAGCAAAATTAAAAAAAAAAGTTTACAAGTACATTGTAAGAAAGTACAAAAATACATTGTAAGAAGGTATAAAAATGCATTGTAAGAAAGTATATAAAAAAAAAATTTGAGTAGAAACTCCTCACAGGTGGTTCAGTGTAACTCCCCTGGAGCAATTGCTTGACAAAAGCTTGTTTATCATTGTGAAACTTTCAGGCTTTGCCTTGGCCAAAATAAGTTGCATACAATTTTATTATTTTTCCTGTGACCAGATAATGCATTTTAACTACTGGTTATATAAAAAAGGAACTAATAATTTTTTTAAATTTGTATTTTGTAGTCCAACACTAGGTGCATATATCACCAAGTGCACAGCCAAGGAGGTTAGCATTAATTAATATGAAATGTAGAAATTTGAAAACCTGATCAGTCTATACCGAACAATTTGGCCTGGGTTAGTAGCCTGACGGGGACGATTGACTAGGCACCAATCCTTAACTGCAGCATCTGTTCACCCAGCAGTGAATGGGTACCTGATTGTTAAATTAATTAGTGGGTCATATTCCAGGGAAAATTAGGATTAAGAACCTGCCCAAAACTAGTGGCTTTACTGCACTAGTGACTACAAGAATGTAAGAAATCTTGCAAGTCTATCAAATTAGACACAAGATGGCTAGAATTTGCATAGTAAATCGATCAACTAACCTACAGCAGACAATATACTATACTATATTAGGTAGTCTGTAAATTGTTGGTTTGCAGACAAGTTTAGATCCTTCATGTTTTTGGTTTTATAAAGCTTGCCTACTTCATAACTAAGGCTTTGAAGAAGAGTACTGTAATGTAATAATACCTTTTTTATTTTTTCTCTAACAGGTAAAGTTTACCTCCAATGATCCACCAAATGGAGATGCAAAGATTGACATGCCTTTGGCCCCCACCTTTAGTGGCCTTACTAAAGAGGAGTTGATGAAGTATAGCAATGACCCATTTTGGGTTCGACTTCGCTGGGTTCTGTTCATCCTATTCTGGTTAGTTGTGGAATACTTTACATTTCAAATTTAATGAATTTGATAGAAATATGGTGAAATGATTGTTTGGAAATTGACCGTACATTACTGTACTGATAATAGGTTGAATATCATTCTACTTGGTGTTCTTCCATTAGGCTAGGTTGGGTAGCCATGCTGGTGGTGGCAATTGTCATCATTATTCAGGCTCCACGCTGTGCTCCAAAGGAGACCCTTGAATGGGTACAAGAATCTGCCATGATGGAATATGATGTGGAGAACCCTATTGATGTTGATTCGACTGATGGTGCTACTCCTATGGGTAAGTGTTTATAATTTGAACACTTGTAGTAGCAAATGGAAGATATTTATGTAAAAATGCTAAGCTAGATGTACTTTGTCATGTTACATTTTCAACTTTTGCATTTTAACAGACATGGTGACAATGGCAAAAGAACTTGGTGTAACAACAATTTATTTGCAAGACTTGATCAATCCCAATGACTTCGAAACACTAAATCCAAAGTACACCAAAGAAGATGTTATGGGCCTCCTTGAAGTAAGTAGATCTAGGTTGTATTTGATAATTGTATAACAATTCTTAAATGTTCAATTCTTGTGTACTTCACTTTTCTTTGCCGACTATCTTTATTTGGGTTAAATGCACGTAGCTATTTGTTATCCTTGAAAAACATATGAGAAATCATTGGAGTTATCCTTCGAGAAACAGTGTAGAGAATGTAAAAAATTGTTAGATATTAATGTTAGACCTGTAGATATTAAGGGGTTACAGACAACGGTAATACCGTAATGGAGAGGCGGGGCAAGCTTGGCAAGGAAAGTAAAGTTTTTCATAAATTTGCTGTAACCCCTTACAATTATGGTATTACATTAGTGCCTTTGTTACAATTCAACTTTTTCTGAAAGGGTTAATTTCATAAGGTATATTTGTATCAATTGTCTTTTTTTCTTTTGCATTATTTTTTTTTTCTAATTTTTTCTTTCCTATATTTCCCTTATTTTCTTGTCAATTTGTCCTGAAGTTAAATACCTTTCAACACAGGCTGCCGAGAATGGTGGTCTGCGCATCGTGACTGACTCGGTGCCAAGCCAAGTGGGACCAGACAACAACTGGTTCAAGAACCCCAATATGAGTGACTATTTTAAGCCAAACTCTGGCGGCGTCTTGGACTTCAGCAACCAAGAACTCGTGCAGACACTGACGGTAAGAGTATTTTGCTTGAATTGACTGTAACTGTATAATAAGTTTGACTTTATTTTATGCAAGCATATTAAATTAGCGATGTAATACAGTAGTAATGTCCAATTACATTAGTGTTATATAAGGTACAATGAGGAGAATATATAAGTAAGGGAAGACAATATATTATGTGGGATATTTGTTTGATGGACTCTGTGGGTTTCTATAGAAAACCTCTTAAATTAATTTCTTGTTCCTGATATGAAAGCATGAAATGTTTGAGTTCCAGGAATTGGCCTAGCTTCATGTCATGTGTAGCAGCTTCTCATTATTTCTCACTTACAAGTTTTATTACGTTATCACTACTTACATATTCATCTGTCCAGGTGTACTAGACCATCCCCCCTTGCACTGTTAGGTGTTCATAGTGGTGATAATTGAAATTATTTTGAAGTCTTTATCTTTAAAAAAAAAAGAATATATAACCTGGAGCAATAATTATTGCTTTCACAGCATATAACTTTTCTGCATAAATCGGTAGTCGTGAGTGGAGTACTCTTCAGTTAACATAAATTCCCTGTTATGAATTAAATCTTTGTTGCTGGTTTACCACCCCTTCCCTGATACTAGTACTACAGTGGACTTCAGGTACCAATTCTATTCTTTCAAACTGGAGATGAAGTTGGACTAGATGCCCCTTCCTCTGGAATCCTTATAACTACTTTGCTCCATTTCTTGAGCCCTAGTCTGTGGCATGCTGTAAGCTTCAATTAGGGCTCCCTTGCTGGATGATCACCTGTGATGCCATCCCTGTCAGTTTCAACTAGCGACAGTGGACATCATTAGGACACTTGACTGCTTCCTGTGTTATGCTTTTATTGGTAAAGCTCAAACCAGCCAGATATGCATTTCCTCTCAAATGGAATCAAACTGATTGGTTTGATGTAATTTTAAAACTGTAGTGTCATTTGTTTTATGTAAATGATAATATTTACATGCTACTAGTTCAGAGCTACTGTGTTTAGGCCAACCTGAAGCCATAATTTTCTGCTAGTATCCTAGTTAGGAATTGGTAGGTAACAAGGGAGCCGGTCGGCCGAGCGGACAGCACACTGGACTTGTGATCCTGTGGTCCTGGGTTCGATCCCAGGCGCCGGCGAGAAACAATGGGCAGAGTTTCTTTCACCCTATGCCCCTGTTACCTAGCAGTAAATAGGTACCTGGGTGTTAGCTGTCACAGGCTGCTTCCTGGGGGTGGAGGCCTGGTCGAGGACCGGGCCGCGGGGACACTAAAAAATGCCCCGAAATCATCTCAAGATAACTTCAAGAAGGCTGAATAAGCGTTAAATGACCGACAGATTCAGTGAACATTGCTTCTATTCTTCCCTAACAAGGTTGGGGTGAAAAGTGTTAACTTTTTAATTTTTGGTCATTGCAACTTGTGTTGGTTATACTTGACACTCGCTGAAGGTGTAGAGGTGCTAGTGTGTGTGATTAGTCAGTGGTGGTGCTGGTTCTGTGATGCTGTTGAGTGTGGAAGTTACGGTGACTGGATGGGTGAAGTTTAAATGAACGAATCCACAAGGGCCGTGATGAGGGTTCGAACTTGTGCCCGGGATGATCCCAGATACTGTGTAGTAAAGTTAAACATTTTGAACCTTACACTATACTACAATATAAGCAGAATATTAAGTTAGTTTATTAATGTCTAAATTTAGCTATAGTGCACCTGTTCAATTTTTTTAGGCTAAATAGATTTAAACATTACAGGAACAAGTTTGTTAGAGTAACAAATTTTTAATGTTAATATTTGTTCAAAACAGGAACTCTTGAGTGGCAATTGGAAGGAAAAAGGAGTAGCAGGATTCTTGTTGGAGAGTGCAGATACCGAGGAGTTGGTAAATGCCAGCCAAGCAATTAACGAAGCCCTGAAGCCAAATGATGGGTAAGATTTTATTGTTGCTCGATAATTAATTTTACCTTCATTGTTCTTAAACAATGATTAAAAGCACGTGTTTTTATTATATTATCTGAACATTATCGAAGGAAAATTCGTAGTTGGAAAATTGTTAATGATTAAGTGGGGTCTTAACTTTTAGTTGACAACTAAACTTTAGTTTAGTTGTAAGAATAGTATTGTATTTATAATTTATTGCAAAAACGAAAATAGTCGTAGCCTACAGTTTTTCTTTGCATTACCTGTCTGTGAGCTCTTTTGTAATCATTTTATGACAAAGTGCTGGGAAGACAGGACACCACGAGCATGGCTCTCATCCTGTAACTACACTTAGGTAATTACTTAGGTAATCAGAGGGCTGTATGAGGTTGTAAAGGAGCACAATCACAACTATAACCATTGTTCTGTGTGCCATAATTTGGCTGCAGTGGCCTGGTACAAATGATTTGTATGTATGCATCAGGAATTTATTGCATTATGCCGGTCGGCAGAGCGGACAGCACACTGGACATGTGATCCTGTGGTCCCGGGTTCGATCCCGGGCGCCGGTGAGAAACAATGGGCAGAGTTTCTTTCACCCTATGCCCCTGTTACCTAGCAGTAAAATAGGTACCTGGGTGTTAGTCAGCTGTCACGGGCTGCTTCCTGGGGGTGGAGGCCTGGTCGAGGACCGGGCCGCGGGGACACTAAAGGCCCGAAATCATCTCAAGGTAAACTCAAGGTATTTACTAATATTTATGTATTGTAGTTGTATGTACAATTTCATTGAACTCTTGAGTGTTATTATGTAAAACAACTTGTTTGGCTTGTATTATCAAAGCCGCCAGTGCTCGCAACACAACTGCAATACATCACAAATAATAAAACTAACAAGTGTTATTTTCATAATTTTCAATAATTGCAATTGGTTTGCATCCTTGCATGATCAACACTAGTATAAACATGATTAAAATGTTGAAACTAGAACATTCATGTGACTAATAACTTTTAACATTTTATGCGGATCAGGACATAACCTGGAGTCCTGTTTCGCCTACCCGCTTCCGCGATGTGGACATAAAATGTCCTGAAAAAAATATTTGTATAAAATTCAACTTTAATCTGATTTACTTTGGGTTTGTTTCAAACTGCGCGCCACGAGGCTCTCTTTCTCACCACTAGGCTTAGGCTGCATGGTACAATAAGTTCATAAAAGGTGTGAACCACTTCGATCAAATGGTATTACCATTTTACCAGGAAAACTCACAAGTGGACCTAAAAGATAATGTTTTATTTCCTGCAAATGGCTTTGCATAATGCCTTTGTTTTGTACAAATACAACACAACTGATCAAAAAAAGCTAACATTGCTACAGTTCCACGAGGTGGCAATTTGGGCCCTATTGTGCTGGCACCCGGAAGATTGGCCTCAAACAGCAACAGTATCTCAACACTTGCGGCACGCTCCAGACATAAATGATGACACAGGTCCTGCCTATGCTGACGCCATTGCAAACTCCTGGACCATCTGGTGTGAGGCGGCCCTTGTTCACTTAAACACCTCAAGCTGAAGCAGCAACCGAATCAGAACCCGAGATGTCTGGCACACTGCCATTTGACAAGACGGTTTTGTCAGATGACTGACTCAAATGTTGAACCTCCAGCGATTCAGTTGATTCTGAAAATCGCATGAACTACAAACAGAAACGAGTATTTTGATATCAGAATGAACACTGTATCACAAACTGCTGTAAGTAGACTCGAGCCTTCATAAAAAAAATTTTGGGTGTAGCGTGTGTCTGCACGAGTGTCCCAAACGGGTTGCAGGTGGGTGACTTTAGCCGTTTATACTGATAATGCTTCCCCCATATCATGTATTATATGCATATGTCTGTTTAGGGAATTTTATTCTGATGAATGTACAACCAAAAATAACTGTGTGCAACTAGTATAAACTTGGCAAACATAACCAAAGTAAAAACATTTCGTGTGTTTGACTCTCGCTGATATGTTCCAGCGTTGTTTTATATTTGGCGCTATTCTATCTTACGCTTTGTTAATCATTTTTACCTACGGGCTCATAGAACATTCTATTGCGAACACATTGACACAAAAATGAATGACGTACATAGAATAATAATGTCAGGACAGTGAAATAAGTATAAACTTTCAAAGCGCCGTATTGCACATGCATCGTTCCGTCACCAATACCGGGTAACAGTTCCACCACTTCCCACACACTTGTGGGTGGGCCGCGACCATTATTCTACGTTTATATGCATATCACCGTGTTGGGAATTTCATTGTGAGTCCATTGATACCAAAATTAACGCTGTAGGACAAGTGTGGAGGTGATAACAATCCCAAGAGTAAAAACATTGTTGCTGTTGGGTGCTCACGGCGAGTCATCTTCGTAGTTATTTATTTGGTGCTGGTATCCCTATACGTTTCGTGACCTTTTTTACTGATGTTCTTCTAGAGAATTTTATTGAGAACACGTTGGTACCAAAATGAAATACGTAGTTCGAGAACTAAGGTCAGGAGAGTAAAGAGTATACACATTTTTGTTTTTACGCTTAAGCGACAAAAACGCCACGCGCACATACCGCTTTTTTTTACCTTCGCCGGGCGTGCGAAAGTGTTAAGCAAGAAATTTGCTTAATTTGGCAATTAAAACGATGACTAAAATTTATTAGTGGCTTGGCATTGTGTTTTGCCAACACAGACTAATCACTTGCTACCTCAGTTTCTCGGTCTCACTATCTGTGCTGTTTATCACTTTTTCATCTATGGTTGATATTAGTTTTCTACTTGCATACTAGCCACTAAAATCTTCCAGTTCTTGCAATATCTTTAAATTTTAGCCGGCATCAATAGTTATTGATGTAGTCACTAGGCTGGAATGTTGTGTTGATTCAGGGGCGACGACGATCGTGGGATCTAAGCTGGAATGTATCATGACAGTGAGAAATTTACTAATATTACTAGCATATATACAATTTGTTCCCATGCTCTTAATTTGGCAATGGATTGCCATTGCCATCTAGGAATGGAGTATGTAACATCAAATTATAAAACAGCCCGCACTGGGTAAAATAAGAAAAAATCTGCAGGTGACAGGCATGATCCTCTAAATTATGTGCCGGCATGGCACAAGGGCTAATTTTCAAACGGAAGTCGGCTTTCTTATGGTGATGTGATGAACACACAATTGGCAGATATTGATCAAGGGGCTGTGAAAGAACTTATACAAATATTTTTTTTATATTTTTCTACATTCATTTTCTTGTAATTTGTTTCTTTCAATTGCAGGGCCTTTGTTCATGGAGTAGCAGACATGGCGAGTGAACTGGTGTCAGGCTTCAATGCCAAGAGGTTCCGTAGCTTCCTTCAGGAACACATTGATGATTGGACTTATTATAAGGTTAGATAATGCAATTTCAGATATTATAGAAATAAATCAGTTTCTAAAAGATAATGTGCAAACACCTCCCTTTTTATTATTATTGTTATTGATATTTTTATTATTATTATTATTAGTCCATTATGTATACTTCGTTGTCACTTGAAAACATTAAATGGATGAAATTTTGATACTACGGTAGGGGCGTTTTCTCAGGTACTCCCCATTCTTTTAAGTCAATTACAAAAAAAACTTTTGAAACAAATTTAGATGTTTCTAGTATACATAAATTCTAGACCAGGATTCCTTAAGTGTTATTACCAGTTTGTCAAAATTATAAATTTAACATTTAAAATGGATAATAAACAATTATTACACACATGCATTACATTCAGAGACATAAATGTGTGTGTGTATATATAATTTTATTATTATTAGTATTACATACTGTGTGAATTTGAATGCATTTTAGGAGAGCGGCAGGTTTAGCATGCCTTTATCCTACGTGTTCTGGAAAGGATATGAAATCGGAGCATAAATTCTTAGTTTGTAATGTCTTGCCTGAAATTTTTATTTTATTTTACAGTTCAATCCTAGGGTGGCTGCAGGAAGTATTCCGACTGATGTGGTACGTTTGGTGACCCTTTCCCTCTTCTTGGTGCCTGGGACACCAATCCTTCATGGCTTTGATAAACCCTATTTTGATGAACAGAAGGAATTCATCAAAGCACTCTCTGAATTGAGAGAAAAAGAATCGGTGAAAGTGGGCAACATGACGTTTGTGGAAGGTGATGAAAATGTCGTAGCATATGCCAGGTAATGAACATTCCATAATAATCATATACAGTATTGGTATAAATTTTTCATGCATAAATTACTATTAGCAAATTTAAATTTCTATTTAAACGCTTGTGCTTTGTGGACACATCGTTCACTACTTTCAGCTCGTTCACTGTCTCGATAGCATGTCAGTGTCATACAATCCAAAATATCCTAAAATTGATTCACTAACTACAGTATTACTTTGTAATAAGCACCACTTGGTTTCCGAACTTTAGTTATCAGAAACTTCCAGTTTCCCGATTGGGGTTGGGAAGTCATACTACACGAACAAAGTTCGGGTAGGAAGCGAAGTGGTTCGCCAAGCGTCGCGCCGGCCCGTGGTGATGGGTGGGAGATGGTCCAGTTTGCCCACTGACCATGTTGGGCGCCACTAATCTAGAGTGCCTTCTACCCTGTGATTTCAGATTCACGGTCTATTCTGTTATTTTGATTTGTCATGAGGCTGGAGAGTTCAATCTGCACAATCAAGAAACATCTGTGCACCATGTCGGCTCCAAATGCACGCATTGCGTCAATGATTGCTGACTGGTGGGTGGGTGGATGGATGGATGGGAGCTTAGATGGGGTTGCCAAACTTCTGTCATATTGTATTACAAATTTTAATCTTAGTTGTAAAATATTTATGCCAAAATGTTAATTTTCATATATTAATATACATTATTAATCATTAACATGTTATATGATTTCCTATTTATTAAACAAATATAGTTTTATTTATGAATTATGCACAGCTGGCATCTGTGAGCAGGCGCTGACAGACATGTCCGCCTCTACATAGCCTCGATCCCGTTAGTAGCTCCCCCCTCCTCCATAGCCTGCTGTTCTCATGTTATGAAGAAGGCAGTGAGGGAGGGATGGCAGGCATTGAGGGGGACAAGGCAGTGAGGGAGGGATGGCAGGCATTGAGGGGGACAAGGCAGTGAGGGAGGGAAGGGTGGGGGTGAGTGAACGCAATTACACAATGAACTTTGTTTCATTTGCTGCATTTATGCTGTGAATCTGTCGATTTTTTCCCTTAGAATTTTTTGTTAAATTTAAGAAAAAAAAATTGTCCATTTTCCTCCATTCTCGTTTACAAACTTACACGATACCCGACGAGTCTCGTCCCCGAGGGGTTCGGAAACCAAGTGGTGCTCTGTAATTTCAATTTGCACACAAGACTTTAAATGTAAACCTTGAAAGTTTGGAATAGTTCTGGTCCCAAATAGATAGTTGCTCTGGTTTGAAATTAGGTTTTTACAGGGAAGATGTCAAGTGTTCAGTATAATTTTTTGAATATTGGCAGTTTTATAACTTGAGATATAGTAAAACAATACAAATTGGTATTGTAGATGCTCAAATATTTTGACTGCATATTACAGTAAATGCAAAAATCCTTTTGCCTTGCCAAATCTGTTAAGTGTGGATTTTTAAAATGGTCAGTTGACTCCATGCTGATGGGCAATTCCTATTTTGGCAGTCGTCTTCCGTACAACTCTGAAATTGAGTTAATTTTCCCTTCTTGCCAAATCCTTACAAAATTCAAAGTAAATATCTAAAGATATTTAAAACTTGTATACTATTTCAGGGGTGTGATCATTCTTTCTGGGGATTATATATTCATTAATGTACACAATAGATGGGAAATTTAAACTTGTATTTAGGTATGGTGGTTATATTTTTCCCAGCTTTACAGTACGAGGCTTTATTAGTTTTGTTAATTCATTCAGGTTACTGTAATTCTTACCAGTTTACTAAACATTCATTTTACCATTTAAATGATCCCTCTAGTATTTACTTGATATTTTATAACTTGTAAATGCCCTATATTTACCTTTATAATATTTATTAAACTTCCAGCATTTGGGAGTTTGTAATTTTTAGAATATTTGTATATAATTTTTGTCTAGAGCAGAAAATTGATCAACTCCATGGTTTGCATAACATCTAGTTCTTCTCCATTTCCAACCATCACAGGGTGGGGGAGACATCGGCATGGAAGAAATAGTAATACAGTATAATAAGTCCAAATATTTCAGACACCTTGTCCATTTGCCATATCTTCATTACATGCTGTATGTAGCATCATAATAAAATTGGTAAATTCTACTTAAAATATGAACATTGCAAGTAAAGTGACTAGGAAGGAAAATCTTTCTAATTATATTTTTTTTTCTTTTCGCTCTCAGGATTCCGTAAGTTTAATGTGGTTACTTTGCTTTTAATTTAATTTTGTAAATTTGTTCATTACTAAAATTCCTTTTTCATATTGCCTGCATTATTCAAGGTGTAAAATTTGTGTATACTATATATCCTGCATTGTATTGAATTTACATTCTAAAGCTTTGACTTGAAATTGTAGACGACAATGCAACTTAATTTCAGTAGTGTATGCAAGGATATTGTTTTCCTCCTGTATGAGACATTACAGATACTGTAATGCAAAGTTATCAAAAGAATGTGTTGCAACTGCAAAATAAGACGCCCAACCCACGAATCTGAAAATACTGTATAGGCAATGACATTTCGTGAACCATTATCAGGTGTAATTATAAAAGTTGTGCGAATTGATAATGGTTCTGGATAAACTAAAATCTCATCATTTCCTTTATTTTCAAATTTGTGTGGTTGAGTGTCTTAAATTTCAGCCATGTTATTGTGACTTGTCTGTAAAATAATTTAAATGAAGTCTATAGCTAAAAATAAAAAAAAAAACTTTGGGGGCACTGTAGGAATTTCTTCCTTGATTCCCTGGAGATGTTTAATGCTATGGATCAGACCTATCAATTTTTTATCTGATTTTCTTAAGATACAACTGATAATTACTATATTACAGAAAATTGGCTTACATATTTTCATAGCAACATTATGCTCTGCATCTTGGTTATACAGTACAATATTGTGATGATAATGCATAAAATAATAGTATGAGGCAGTTGCTGACCAATAATATATTGTAACTTTTCAGAGTAATGAAGGGTACTCCTGGTTATGCCGTAGCGGTTAATCTGCACGATACTAATAATGCGACTGTAGACTTTACCACAATAGCAGGGGTGTCTGGTAAAGGTGACAATTCTCTGAGATCAACATCTGAGGTTCCTGTTAGCAGGTGAGCTATTCTAGATTTAATTTTTACCCGATACATTTATAATAAGTTTAGATTTCTTCCGTTTTATTTATTTATTTATTTTTTTTTTACTCCACAGTAAAATCTTCTGTAATACAAATGGTGTAGTGTGATAGCTGTGCTATGCGAATTTGCAAAAGTAGAAAATTTTTACTTTGGGAGGGGGATTAGAAATGGCATTTTTTTTATCGCCCAAAGTTCCTTTTTCATAACAAGAATGAAGGTGAATGAAGAATGAAGGCAGGAGGCCTATTGGCCCATAAATCGACAACATTATTGCCACTCCCTAGTCACTTGTTAAAATACTGTACAGTAGATTACAATTTTGGGGGTGCAGCATGACTTCCAGAATGGTTAAGACTTGGTCACAACAAATGTTATCCAAAAGTTGTGTAGGAGGTAAAGTAAGGAAATACTAAGCCAGTATGACTGTATAGTGCTTTTTAAGGGATTTGATGACAAGGCGCTGGAATATAAGGATATTGAATGAGGTAAAACCCTGTTTGGGAGGTGTGATGAATGTTGCCCAATTATCTTGATTACAAAATGAACCTGCACCGACTTCTGCCATTAAAAATCACATGCATTTTTTTAACATAAAAATACTGGAATTTGCACCACACGCACTTGCTACACTAGTATCTTGTGTACAGTACTTAATATAACAAAATGAACATTCTTTGGTAAATGGTCTGTAAAGTGGTGTGCCTTATATATAATTATATTTTTTCAGCCTTGATCTTGGACGGTCGGACATGTCTTCAGTGTTCTTAGAACCATATGAGGGCATAGTCATACAGTTCGTGCCAAATCTCTAATGGCAAGAAATATGAAGCCGATTTTATATCCTGGACATTAGGCTGCAATATATGAAGAGCAGTCTAACACTGAAGATGTTTTCAAAATCTTGGAACCATTAATTCCCCAGCAGATGACTATTAGAGGCAGAAGACACCACCGGATTATTATTTTTTTTTTTATATATACACGGTTAGAGAATTTTAATATTGTATTGATATTTTTAAATTACTGTATGTACAGAACTACAGTATTTGTTATAAGTTATTGTTCATGAAGTTTATAAGTCTAATCAGAAATTCTGAACATTTAATAGTCCGGATCATTTTATTGTCATTTGACCAGTCTGCACATATGAAATAAAAGATTGAGTAAATTTATTTCTTTTATTAAGTGGAAATTACACTACTTGAATTTACCCAACTGCCACCCTCAACGAGGACAGGAAACCCGCAGCTTGTTGAAGGTCCCCCAATTTGTCCTGATCTCTTCCAGTTTTATTTGAAAACTGCAGAGTTTTGGCATTTACGGCTTCGGCGGGTAGGTGGTTCCACGGGTTTACAACAATATGGGTGAAGCCTCGGTTTTTAGTCCTACATTGTGACTTGAGCTTGAACCCGTTGCTCGTTGTTACATTTGACCTTTTGAAGATTGTCCAGATCAACATCCAGATTGTTAGTAATTTAAAGGTTTCTTCGATGAGATCTGCCCCGTCATGCCTGGTTTTCAGTGTTAGCCCACCAATCAACCCTATGGATTCAGACTTCAAAAGGAAAGGATGGTATAGTTAGGATAGTAGTAGGGATGAAGCGCCCCACACGATTTTTTTTATATAGAAAAAACCGTGTGTAGCGCTTCGGATTTCCAGTTAATTTTTCAGAGTTAGACCGAAATTTTTCAATGTCCATTTTCTGAGAATATGTTTAAGAATTCTTATGGGAGTAATTTTTCAGACTTCAGTTTTATGAAAATATTTCAGTTCGTGTAATCTTAGGAGTTTTAAGAGTGTACGTTTAAGTAAAATTCTCGCTTAGAAACGAGTATGTCTATATAACTAAAACTGTAGCATTAACCAGCTATAACAGATGTTAATTACCTGACCAGCCTCCCTCCGCACAGCCTTACCTTGGACCTCGCGTCACCTGTTCCGACCTTACACCCTGCCGCCAGACGCCGCCACTGTCCCTACCTCACCAAACTGGTGTCACCGCCGTAATATCTGGCCCGTCCCTCCCCCCTACCTGTTTCCGACCTTACCCCTCTCCATCCTTCAAAAGGAAAGATCCTTTTCTTCTATCTGTTGTAAGGTAGTTTGTTGTTGTTGTTAAAGATTCGCTACCTGGAACAAAAAGGTCCAAATAGCACGGACTATGGTGAGCCCGTAGAGTAAGGTAGTGCTGTAAATTTAGTAGTTGTGATGTGGATTTTTATACCCCATATCTAAAGTCTTCCATTTATTATTGCATTAGTTCTGTAATATACTGTACATTTTCTTCCATATGTGCTTTTATAATCTTCAACATCACTTGGATATTGCCCCCACTGGGTTGTGAATAATGATTGGAGGAGTTTGGTTTGGTCAACCGTGGGATCACATTCGGTATTGGATTGGGTGATGAAAAGTGGTACTGTAGTCTGAAGATATTTTGAATGATATACCGGACAAGCTAATGGCTTTAGTGGTACCGTGATGAAGCACGTAGCATGGACAGGGTTTGAACATACAAGTTGCTGGTTTTTGTGTAGTGATATGAAGCGGGAGATAGCAGAGGAAGTGGGTGATACTGATATTTTATTTACATGCTACTGTGACCCAACGTAGCTCTCATAATATTCCTTTAAGGCGACGCTTGGAGAGAGCAGATAAAGATGAAGTTACTAACAACCCTTACTACAATCTATTAAAATTCTTCCATACCTTATTCCTGAAACCATTCTAAATTTATGAGGGCAACTTCAGTGCCTTCGACAAGGACAGGTTGTCAGGTGGTCCCACTCCCATTTGTCCCGATCATGTTAGATGTTAAGATTCAGCAGTGTTCTGGCATTTACAGATTAGGCGGTTCCATGGAGTTATAACCCAATGGGGGGGGTGCATTATAAAGAAAGAAATTGAATAGAGCATCTCGAAACACTTTGTTCTGCATTGTCTTCAGCTTGAAACCATTGCTTCTTGTTAGTTACACCTGATTTATTAAACTATTAGACTATTAAACGTTATTAAACTAATGATGTATTAAATATGGTAGACAACTTCTCGCAAAGCTTTGCTTTGCATTCTTTAATCACCCTGGCAAACACTTGGTCCAGCCCTGGGGATTTGTTTGGCTTGAGATTCAATATTTGTTTTAACATCCTCCCTGGTAACTGCTAAACAATCAACCTGTCAACCTGTCCTCTTCCCACCAACATACACTTGTTCGGCTGAAGGCATAATGTTAAGTTCCTCTAGCAAATAGAGAAAATATTTAAAATACTACTCTTCGTTATCTGACCTGTCAAGTTTTTAATGGACCTATCAATTACCTAATGTGTTCGATATAACTGGAAAAAACTTTAGGATTTGTCTGCTTCCCCTGCTATACTAACTTCATAGTTTCTTTTTTGCCCTCATTTTTTATACCATTTCTAACCAATTCAATTTCTTTCTTTATTATGCACCCCATACCTATCCCGTGGGCGGTGGTGTAAAGGATTACAGAGGCACATAATCGGTTCAGGAACTGAACCCTCTAGTTCGTTTAGCTAAGCAAATAATGTTTGACGCTAGTTACAAAATTATCAATGTTGTATACACATGTACATACCCTCATACATACATGTACATACAAGTGACACAAAGAGGTGTCACAAGTGATTCAACAAGAGGCTCACAACAGTCATTATACAAGGCACTTTACATCTATGGTGAGTCCACCATTTGGTCACCACTTGGTCCGGGAGACATCTCCCGTCACGCAGGGTGCAGTTGCGCCTCCACAGATCTCTAGTATCATCTTTTGATACTGGTAATGGCTCGAAAGGGCCACCACTTACGGGCTATTCATGCCCGTGCCACCTCTTGGGTGGCTTAATCTTCATCAATCTATGGTGAGTCACACAGTTACTAATCTTGCTGCACACCCACCCAACTGGGCGGCAGCTTTACAGTCATGTGCATGCATTACCTACAGTAAGCAAATTTTGGATACTTCGCTAAGATTTCGGGCAGCACATCATTATGAATGAAGTACTTACACATTTCTTGGACACTATTGTTGGTGTTATCTCTAAATTCCGCTATTTTTTTCACATTCCATTATATAATGACGCAAAGTATGCGAATAGTTCTGCTGACAGAGTTTGCATTTAGTCAAATCTACATCAGCGGATGTTACAAACTCCCAGAGGTACTTGTAGCCGAGCCTAAGCCTAGCAGTGGTAACATCTAGAAGTCTGCTAACATTATTGGATGACCCATAGACGTGCGGTTCTTCATGCATAATAGAATGATAGATGGAGTAACTGTTGTGAATTTCACTTTGCCTCAAGTCTCCGAAATTTAGTTGATGTTCCTGGGATATTGCTGCCCTCAGGCTGCTCAAAGGCAATCCAAGTTGGTAATCAATTCCCTCTTTACGAGGAAAAGTCTTGGCTAGCTCACCAGTTCTATCATGCATTCGGAGACCAACATGGGAAGGAATCCACAGGAGACAAACTCTTGACTCCATCATTGATTATTTCATTATATTTGTCTAGCTTCAGAGATAAGCACGTCACAGTTATGCGTTGGGGAGCTGAGGGCAGTCAAGGATGACAAGGAGTCACAATTAGCGTGTCAACTTTGGGTTCATATACGCGCTCGAGTGCAAGGATTATGGCAACCAATTCTGTTTGAAGAGCGGAGGCCCAGTTACTTAGACGCGCTCCACACTCATGGGAGAAGGAACCATCTCTCCCTGTCACAACAACTGCACTTCCAGCTGCACCATGGGACTGGTGCAAGGATCCATCAGTGTAAATAATCTGGGAAAGGGAGCGCTCTCTAACTAAAGCATCAATTTGGCTTAAGGCATTGTACTTTGCTTCTTGTCGAAGCAAGGCTTGTTCTTTAATCAGCTTCTTGGGTGGGAAAGGGGGGACAGTAATTTGGAAAGGAGTGATCTCCCATGGGGCAGGAAAGTGTTGTTGTCTCTCTTGGTAGGGGTGATGAAAGTTATACATTCTGAGCACATTGGCAGTTACGGTAATCCATTTGGAGGGATGCTGACCTTCAAGAAAGAAGGCTTGGAGGGCTTCAGTGGAGGGGTTAGGGTGGGTTAGCCTAAGCATCTTGATACCAATTAAAGCATTAATTTCAGTGATACGATCACTTACACATGAAATGTTCAGTTCCTTCCTCATGTGTAGTAATTTAGTTGTACGGGGGCATCCGAGGATAATCATCATGGGTTCGTTTGCTAACCAGTTGGTCGAATTCTTGTTCTAAACTGATTTCCCCATTTTTAATCCTTTTGTACCAAGCCCGTTCTCTACCTATTAGGCGCTTCAAATTGACAGAAGTTGGGAGTAACAAACTTGAAGGAAATCTGGCAAGACGTAAATAAAGTAAAGGGTAAAAAGCATAATTTTGTTGCTGACCCGCAAGGAATTACGAACGGTCTCGCAGATAGATGTTTTTAGATTCATCTACTCAGAACAAAAGTTCTAAGTAGCACGGGCTATGGTGAGCCCGTAAATGGAGGCCCTTTAGAGCCATTATCTGTATCAATAGCTGATACTGGAGGTCTGGGGATGGATGGGGGTCTTCATGGTGATTTTCAGCCCTGGAGGGCTGGCTGTACCAGTTATGGAACTGGTGGGGTTAGTGTAGACCTCTAGGTCTTCCGTTTTTTCTTTGCCTGAGACTTTAGTTGAGCCGTGCTGTCGTTGGAGTTTGATGAGGTGGCCACCATGAGGAGGTCTTGTACCGAGTAGGTGTCGTATTCGTGGTGCAACGGTGGAGCTCCTACCAACATTTCCACCTCATTTCCCTAACATTCGTAGTTGGTGTTTTCGACTTAAGCATCGCAGCCTGAGGCAGGCTCAGGTGTCGTGGATTGGTGGTAGAAACTATTTCAGGAGCGTTGGTGGTGCTGTTAGCATTCGTAGACAGCACGTTTGCTAGCGCGGCTGCTGAGGTTGTGGTAGGAGTGTCGGGAGCTGGAGAGGAAAACCGTCAATCAACTGGTGTACAGATTCCTGAGCCTTCTGGGCTCTATCATACTTATATTTGAAACTGTGTATGGAGTCAGCATTCCATTTATTAACTACTCTGACACTGACAAAACATTTGCTAACGTCTCTGTGGCTCATCTGGGTACTAAGTTAAAACCTGTGTCCCCTTGTTCATATTCC